ATCCTAATTCAAAATTGAAATCACTATATTCGCGCGCGAAAGAGCGACGCGGGAAAAGGAAATCCTACGCCTATTCGTATCTGGACGAAATTCCGAAAGTTTTCTCCGACGCGACCAAGAACATTCACACACTCGAAAAGGACACGTCGAAGTTCCTCTTATCCCGGAATTCCCAACTGCCGAGCCCAATTCCCAGTGCGCTCGCTAAGGCGTACGTAAATTCCCATGTATTTCCCGACTTTGCAAAAAGAAAAACAGAACCTAGAAGTCGAAAAAGCTCTGAAAAAAAAGGAAAATGCGGCACCCGAAAGCAAGAAATCAAAACGGGGTTTTCCTGGGGTTGGTATGATACAAGCAAAAGAAAGGGTACGAAAGATGGCACGGGTTCGGGAAGTGGTTCGTCACACGTAGGCAACGATGTGGTCCGGGGTACGTTGCTGGTGCAGCAAAAAAGAGCACGCCGCGACGATGCCGCTGAAAACACCCCTCGTCATTCGCAGCTTGTCGTGGAAACACTCTTCTGGCGCGTCATCAACGATGGTCAGGTCCTTCCAAGTCACGCCAGTCCTTCTCTTAATCCACCATCGAGGTGTATCCCTTGGCAACACACCCGCAACTATGGCATTGGAGAGAAGGAATGGAGCGCCCCAAATGCCCTGCGAAGAATGCACGTTTATCAATGCCTGGAAAATGGCGGCTAGCCTCCTCGCCCTCTGTCACCCACCAGTCCGCCGCAGGCCATTCACCGTCTGCATGTGACGGGAGACGGCCAACGACGCCGTCGCTAATAGGGGCTTCTCCCGAGGTGAGAGTACCCCCTCTCGCGCACCTTCCCCTTCCGCCTGCTCCATGTTCTATGACACAACCGCACGTGCACCGCCTTCGTTAACCTCACCGGCAGCCTGGGTATGATATCGAACAGCTCAGGTGCGGCGATACGATGTGGCAACTGTGGGAAGCCGCTTATGTTTTCAAATTTGAAATTCAAAAACTTTGTGCGCACCTTCGTTTTCGTGGGGAGCTTCAGCCAGCTCCCCCCCCCCCCCCAACCGGTCCAGTTGGCCTCTGCATCAAACCTGTCCCACGGGCCCAAACCGGAGTGGACAATCTTTGTCTGCTAGCAGTCCTGCTCGGACATCCACAGGCGCGACCGCGGGGTTCGTTATCATCCGCATCAGCACTTGTGTTTCTAGGGCAGCCTTCTCTAGGGTTTTGCGTAGACACTTCTAGGGTGGCCTCTCTAGGGTTTCGCATAGGGGTTGTGGAACAAAAAGAGGAGTTAGGGGAAATGAATCACCCTCCCCAAGTTAGGGTGCCGTAGAAACTCAAGTATTCTGAAGTGGTGTTGAGCGAGGCCTATAGACCCAAGTTCCAACCCAAATCCAATCGGATGAACAGAAATAAAATATAAGCATGGCCCCTGGGCAAGGATGGCACGCGTAAATGGAGAAATGGTCCAATGATGTCTCTCAAGGCGGTCCCCTAGTACAACAAAACGGAATTACTTTATTCTGTTGATCTGGTTGCTTCTGGATTCGAATTCAGGTCTATTTTTGAACAGTACTGGGTGTACCAGGTGAAGAAAGAATGGGTTACCAACGGGCCTGCCTCAGGGCGTACTCACACTAGCAGTATCTCAAGTGTATCTGACCGCATTCACGGCCATACCTGGATGTATCTGGCCGCAATTCGGTGTCAAAAATAGGTGAAAAGGTCGTTGTGTGAGTCCTCAGTTGGCATACCCGCCGATACTGTTGAAAAATATACCCGCGTAGTTCGAATCCATCCCTCACCCGCCACACACGTACGGGCTCCGATCCCGCGCCCTCAACAAAATCACCTCACACTTTTCGTAACCGCCTGCCTGTCATTCATGCCGGTAGACGGGATCGCGGACTCCGTCCCACCCGCCTGACTGAAAAAAATAAAAATAAAAATTCTTTTCTTCGCCTTTGGTCGTCGATCTTTGTGATCTACGGTGACTAGGACAGAGTCTTCGACTTCGATCCCGTCAAGAATTTGCGCACTTGTGGGACCTCGCCCCGCCTTTTTTTCGCCCCGCCCCGCCGCGCCCCGCCGTGCCGTGCCGTAGCGCGAATTTTGAGCATTCACGGGGTCTAACTCCCGCGCTCAACACAACATGCGTGGCCCTCTGGGCCTCGCCACACTATATGCTCATCACGAAACGCGGAAAATGTCGAGTGCATCTGCACACTGAAGGTGGGAAGATGCATCTGCTACTATTTAACAAGTAGCCGATGCATCTATCCACTATCTGCGCGAGGATGCAGGCGACCTTTCTCTCCTTTCATGAGTAGTGTGACTCGAAAACCCCTCTGGCAGCATCAGGTTGCCTCTGCCTCTGGCCGTTCGTTTCATTTCGTTTCGTTTGTTGGTTGTTCTCCCC